TGTTTTCCCGGAGAGAGGCGACACACCAAGAGGTTATGTGCTAAGTTGGGGGGGTGAGCCTTATTAGGAATTTATATCCTATTTTTTTGGACGCCAATTGAGGTTCTCTTTATTGCCAATTGCCTCAATTAACGCTCGCTCCTGAACTTTCTTTCTCTCTCTTTCCTTCTTATTATTAATCAATCCCATCTGTACTCTATGCTATTTTTCATTCGCTACACCTTTTAACATTCATTCTCCTCACTCAATCACATACACCCTAATTCTTCTGTTATTTATTTATTATTATACTATATTTGAGATTTCATTTTGATATCAAGAATTTTACAGTGATTTTTTAAAATTTACTGATACATGTAATTTAAATTTAATAAATGAAAGATTTTATCCTAACTTTTTTACTTAATCTAAAATAAAATAATTATAAGTTTTACCTTAATCATCACACGTACCATCAGTTAAACTACGATACCACAACAAATTTGAACATAATTAAACTAGTTAAGACATTTACCTAAGACTAAATAGCAAGAGATTCAAATCTCTAACTCAATAAAAAAGAAAAAAAATCCCTGTGATGCGCACGCACAATACAGCAAGAAAAGAAGGGTAAAAGAAGAATTTTTCTTTTCAAATTGTGCTGAATGCCAAAACAGTTATGGTATACAAATTTTAGATAATTATAATTCAAAGCAAAAATGGGAGACTACTATTGTACATTTACATTTACAGAGAATGAGGTGTATAATAAAATAACCTAATGCTTTAATCTGAAAAAATAAAATAACCTAATGCTTTTGCTTTCAGTATCTGTTCGTGCGCTAGCTCGTGGGTAGAATGTTCGCAGACATGTAAGGAGACAAGCATCCTTTAACCTGGAAGGGAATTGCATAGAAAAAGAAGAATTAAAACACCAGAAATAAGAGATTATAGATTGATTTTTCCAACGCATATGAAGCCAATGCTGTTGAATTATGGAGACATTGATCCGAAACTATCACACTTGCCAAATAAAAATAATTTTGTGGATAAAAGGACTGGACACATTCCCATCCAGATCACAGACATTTGTAGAGTTTCTTTAGCATCATTTTATCACTCACGACTGAAAGCAATATTTTTACTTTTTCAAACGTCAATTTGAGCATATATCTTAACTGGTTAAGCCATATATGATCAACCAAAAGTCGTTCAAATCTCCACCCACATGTTGAACTTAAAAAAATATTTTATTTTTGCAAACATTTCATAAAACCTTCTCAAAACTTTTATTTTTCTTTTAAAATCATAGTCTTAACATTCGGTTCTCGTGAACCAGATCGAAATAGTTCAGTCCAAAAGGCAGAAGAATGACATCAGATAGTAGACATGAAAAATCATGTAAATTCAACCAACTTATTGATACACAATCCCTTTTGTTTGCGCAAGCTACAACCTTCTTTGCTTTCATCACCCATTATTATCAACCCCATTATGTATTTCGAAATAAAAGACAAGTTATAGTTTTTTTTTTTTGTAGATCTATATGTAATGTAGGTTCTTTATGGGCATCATTAACTTAAGCAATGCCCACCTAAAATCCTACATGATATTCTATGTCCATATTTACATCAGATGCACGTACTTGAGTGCCCTGACAAGAATTAGGACAATAAAAGACGAGTTCTAGTTAATTACTACTGAGTTAAAAAGTTTTGAAAAGAAAAATTATGATAATAACAATAATCGACAAGATACACTTGGCACAAAAATGGCATATGAGAAGAAGAAACAGGTAATAATTCTCAGAAAGATCTGTTACCTGCAACAAACAAGAAGGAATTTGGATAAAACCCTGCAAAAGAAGGCCAACTTTTTCCAAAGTGCCATGGGGGACAGGTGTGATAACATATAGCAGACCTTTAACTGTATCAATGCCTCTAACAATTCCTGTTCCACGAGAAATTAGTTAGAGAATTAAAATAAATTACACATGGTATTCTTAGGGAATGAGTTCAAGGCCGAAAGTAATTAGACAACTCAAAAGTATTGATGACACAATGTAATAGAAGTAACCTACCAAGACCAACACACCATGAGAGATTTTCAGAATTTTCGGAGCATATAGCCAAGCCAACGATAGTTGCATTCAGACTATAGAAGATCTGATCACTCGGTACCTATTCGGTATGAAAGAGGTGTTTAAAGCTCAATGGTAATAAACGAGGGAAAATTGAAGGGGAAAAAGAAAAGAGAGAATTTTATTGCACCAACCTGACAGTGCAGGTGTCTAATCTTAATGCTTGATGTTGGAACTTGGTAAGGAGGGTGAGATGCCAGTGCATGTGCAAGCTCTTTAATTGTGGTAATATTGCAATCTCTAGGAAAGCACTGTCTAAAATAAGCCATTATACGCAAATCTCGCATGAGACCTGCATCCCTTTGTACTAGTATCCTAACACAATGAAAGAAGAGATGTAAGAAATACTTTCAAATACATATCTGAAATGAAATGTGTCTTGAAACAACTCAATTATATGTATAACTATATAACAATAACTTGATGACTTTGTTCAAGATAACAAACATGGCGTTGGAGTAATTAGCAACGGCAGACCAGAATCGCAATAGAAAAGAGAATGATGAGTAGTTACTAAAATGGACGTAGGAATATAACAACAGTAGTAATAGCCACCAACACGGCACTAAAAGTTGTTATGTGCGAAAGAGATTCCGAAAGGGATATGAGGAGAATTTAAGTCATCGTGATCAAAATGAGGATGGGAATGAAAACCAATCGTTAACTTACGAAAACACAATTCTATTGAAAATTAAAGATAGCAAAGAACTTACGATCGATTGAAAGCATCTTGACGAGCTGAACGTATTTCAATTAGATTGGTCGTCCCGCAATCTTCCTCTTCTAGCCAAAATGCCCCAGCCGGAAGGTTCTTACTCTCAGCAGATATATTGATTTTGACTACATGTGTTGGCGCAATGTATTTTAACATATCTACCAATATCTCGTAGCCGATACCTGTGACATGAGCAAATTGAAGTTAAGAAGCAAGGTTAACATTACTATCCAATTTTCAAAGCGATGAAAGCAGAGAAAATTGTTGTTTAAGCCATATATATAACTTAAAATAGTAGGATACCTTTCACCCAACCAGGTGTGTTTACTATAAGAGGCAATTCAATCTTGTCAAGGTCTTCAGTCTTGTTAAAAGAATGGTACTCATTTCGGTAATAATCATATAAGGTATTTGCATAACTCAGGTATGCTGTTGGATCTCTTTTTGAAGAAATATCACCAAAGTATAAGCATCTAAGAGAAGAATCAAAATAAGAGTCAGATCTCATTTTGCTTTCCTTATGGGCTTCTAGAAAAGGAATCACATGGAAAGCAATAAAGGATTAAGAAAAACAGAATTCTTCAATACTTAAAAATAAGAAAGGGCCATTAACCTTTAACAGTAAAACATCCTTGGTTAAAAATTTAGAAAGGGTGTTTACTTCAAAGATACCCAACACAGATCAAATAGTCCAGTTCAGTAACAGCAATCAAACACCAACATAAACAGGATGGATTCAAAAGACTTGTACAAATTATAATATTTACAAGACACTTTACCTCTCTGGCGTCTTTAAGCATGGAGTCGACAAATCTAATTTAAAAAATAAGAAAAAAAATTACTTCAATCAAGAGAGAATATCATCGGGGAAATTTTACTAAAT